GTGGGATCCAAAGAACTGCTCAAACCTCAAGTTTTCTCGGTGACAAGAGTGTGCCCGAGCCAGGATTCAAGTAAGTTCTCAGGGAACACTTTTCCCACTGTTTATCCAACTCTAAAAAACAAAGCCAAAAATGTATCTGAGCGTAATGACACTTCGGGAAGTTCTGAGCTCCACAAAGCTCTCACTTGGAAATGACAGATACTCAATATTTATAAAATCTGCTGCTTGGGTCTCTAAATATGGGCATAGGAGTGTCCTCTTAAGCCCTCAAGTTCATATAATTTGATAACCACAGGGCTACAGCATCTATTGACAACTGTCATCCCCTGGTGAAGTTGTTTTCTAGCTGTTGTTAATGTTTGCTTAAATAACTCTTAAGATTCTTTTGCAGAACCCAAAGCAGATCAGCCTTACAGCTGCAAATCCAAAGCAGCACCATTAGAATCCGTGGAATTACTTTGGATTTCGAGTAATGCCACTGAGATAAAAACCTGTCCCAGGAGCTTCTTTCATTTCAGCCTTTTTGTTCCCCACTGAACTGTCAGAGAATTCGGTGCATTATTTTCTGTTTGAAGTGTGTCACTCCTTCAAACAGAGCTCTTGGCTTTGGGGAAAACTAGTCAATATTTCCTGCAAAGAAAAATCAGAGGATGCTTCAGCAAGTGATGTTTCCACGTCTGTTTTGATCTTGTGATCTTTTCTCAGCAAGATTTTTTTTCTTCTTTATTGAATTCCACAGCCTGTAGAATGATCTCTCTCTTTTATTATTGTTTTATCGTGGAATCATAGAGTGACAGGATGGTTTTGCTTGGGAGAGACCTTGAAGATCGTATCGTTCTAACCCACTGCCATGGGCAGGGACACCTTCCACAAGCCCAGGTTGTTCCAAGTACCTGTCCAGCCTGGCCTTGAACACTTCCAGGGATGGGGCAGCCACAGCTTCTCTGGGCAACCCGTGCCAGGGTCTCCCCACCCTCACAGCCAACAATTCCTTCCCAATATCCAACCTAAATCTGCCCTTTTTCAGCTTAAAGCGACTCTCCCCTTGGATCTCCCACATCCAGGGTGTCCACTGAGTTCAGGAAGAGCCAGACTGCAGGAGGAGGTCGGGATGTGCTGTTTGGTTGATGGACAATCCCATCCCCTGTCTGTGCTCCAGCTTTGTAGGGTTGCAGGCAGTAACACCAGGGGGGGTTGCCTGAGTTCAGTCCTATTTTACAGTAACCTCAGCTCAGGAATCTCTGCTTTTATGCCTGTGATTGTCTTCAGTGGCTCTGCAGGTGGTTATTTTGTCATCTTCTGCTGCAGAGCCTGGCTGGTGAGGTACCAGTGAGAGTGTGAGATGAGTATCTGCTCTCACCTCACGCTGTGCTCACAAGGTCAAGCAAAGCCTGTCTTACACCTCTCCACTGAGCTGAGAAATCAGTTCATCTGTCTTTCTCTCTTCATTCCCCACTCCAGAGTTTATTTCAGCCTTTATCTGCTGTTTGTTTCCTCCCCATGTTGTTTACTGGCCCTTTTGCTTTCCAGGATCTCCTGCCATTTGACCTTTGCCCCACATCCCTTCCTTCTTGGTTCCACATTTTCCCCAGTCTTCAGATTTTCCACCTTCTCCCTCAGGCCTGTGTTTCTGAAAAACGTTCCTTTCTCTTTATCCTTGCAGACAAAGATAAACTGGTATTTTTTTTTTTTCCAGCTGACCTTTACTGCCATTTACTCACAGGGTCAAAAAGTAAATCAAATTACCCAACATATCAAGTTGGACAAAATCTATTCCCTCCTCCTGTTGCCTCAAGCACCCTGAGATAACCTCCTACTGCAGGATTGTGGAGGTTTGTGCTCTGCTGGGCCGGGGCCACTTCAGGAAGTGTCATCAAAGGCTGAGAAATCATCTTCAGTGAATCCATGCTCCCAACCCTCCGGATTTTTTGCTCTGCAGTATTTAATCCTGACCTTTCCCTGAGCAAGCAGCTTCCTGGGGCTTATTGAGGTTAATGTGCTTCCACTGTGGCTGCTCCTTCCTCCTTTGCTTTGGTTATTTTTAGTTGACTCTGTTAAACTCATCTCTTTTTCAAGTTTTAAAGGAATTGTGTTCAAGGTGTTCAGAGAAGAAAAACTCTTTTACGCATAAAGGCACTTTGGAAAGGACCTGGACCTTAAAAATCATCCAGTTCCTCTCCCTGCCACGGGCAGGGACACCTTCCACTAGCCCAGGTTGCTCCAAGCCCTGTCCTTTATTCTTTGTTCCTAAATGGATAATTTTTAGGTTTCACCTTCCTAGGTGTAGAATTTGGGGTTTAAAAATGTTCTAATGAGCTCAAAGATGCAGTTTGAGCACCCTGGTATTATCAGTGTTTGCTGAAACTCTGACCTTCATGTGATCTTCCAATTGCACCAGCACTAATTTTATAATTATTTCTAAGCCTTGATCACTGCACTTCATAATTCTGGTGAAAGTCCATCTTAATCCAGTTATCATTCCCTATATTAACACCATATAGCACTTCTGTTTTAATTAAAATGATTATGTGAGATTAAATCCAACACAAAATGTTCCCTGCTTTGTATCTACAAAGTTTCCTGTGCCAGCTGAACTTATAATGGCATCAGAGACAGATGTTGGGTTTTATATATGACCTGTTTTCTACAAAAACATGTTGATTGACACTAATTATATTCCTTTCCAATTGAATGTCATCTTTTTTTTTTTTTTGGGGGGGGGGTGTTTGTTTTTAACCACGTACAAATTCACAGTGGTGTGTGTGTGTGTGTGTTGTGTTACTTTTGAAGTGCTACAGGGAACTGGTGCTCATTCCCTCTTCTAGAATATTCAATATTAACCATCTTTTATGTGAAACCCACATTTTTTTTCGAAAAGGAGTTGAAAAATTAGACAACTTGGAGTTTATTAACCGGTTCTTTGCACTGAAGGACTCCCAACTGCAAACTTTAAGGCTCGTTTTTTTGCATTCCTTAACAAAGCATCCCAGATGATTTTTTATTAAATATGGAAAATACAATATTTCCCCCCACTATATTTCTCAGAAATGACTGAATGGTTATCCAAAAGAAATCTGTAAAATCAATTTACTCCAGCAAACACAACTTAGTTCCAACTTTCAGCCCCAAAAATATGAAGTTTTGTGGAGCTTCAAACACCCAAAGAAAAATTCTGAATAAACAGAGGATTTCCACGTGCACACACAAATGTGCACTTTTAATACCATCATTTCACTTTCTGTATCGTTTTTTATTTTTATCTCAATCAGCTAATTATATCCTGAATGGTTATTTTTTCATCCAGCTCCTCTTGCCATTATATATATATATATATATATATATATATATATATATATATATATGTGGTTGCTGTTTTATGTGCCAACAACCATAGGAAATTTATTCCCCCATTATCCCATGATATATTATTATAGGAAAAGCCTTCAGTGCGAAACGAGGGGATTTTCCAGGGCTGGAGCAGAACCTGATTTCTTTCATTGCCCTCTAGTGGGCTCAAAGCGCTCGTGCAAGGGCAGGGAATGAGGAGCTTTTCCCCTTCTCTTTGTGCGACACAAACCATCAGGTTTCTCGGAATTCGGATTATTTTTCCACGTTTTTGTCTAATTCACAGAGCACTGTTTCGTCTCGCAGCTAAAGCAGAATTATAATCTCGGTGTTTATAAATTAGGACCAAAGGGGACACTGTGCTTTTGATATTTTGCTCCACAAAGCTGGAAATACGCATTTTCTGTATGAAACGTTATTTTACCAAGTGAGTTTTGGGAGGGACATTTAAATACAGAAAGGCTGGAGAAGGAGATTCCACTTTTTAGGCATCATTTTCTGCTGTTGTTGCTGTGGATAACTGTGAATTCATCCCACAGCCCAGCTGAAGGGGGGCTTGGAAAACGTTTCATCCCATTTATTTGTGATTTGTCATGGAATCCTAGAATGGTTTAGGTTGGAAGGGACCTTGAAGATCATTTAGTTCCACCCCCTACCGTGGGCAGGGGCACCCTCCACTGGACCAGGTTGCTCAAATTCTCAGTTTATGAATAAAAAGAACATTATTTCACCCCTTTCCCCCCAATTTCATTGTGTGATAATGTTTCAACAAATATGTCAGATGGTGAATTAGACACACACAAGACCTATCAAGGGGAGTAAGGAGGGGGGGATGATGCCTGTGCTGGGAAAAGATCATAATATAAAGAATGGCCTTTTGTGAATTAAACAGTGAAACAAAACAGAACTTGAGGCAAAGATATTAATTTTCAACAGTCTGATCAGAGGAAATCAAACACTGCTCCAGACTGGTTGGTATAATTTTTACTCTGAGTTAACACACAATGCATGGCTGGCTTATGGCTTGTTAGGACTAAAAATTAGTGACTTTTTGGATGTAAAATGCCTGTCTGGTGTCTGTTGACTTCATACAATGTCATATTTGTGTACTATCCTGGGAAGGGAGGAAAGGAAAAAGCCCCAAAGGGCATTTTTGAAGTGTCAGCAGAATTCAGTCTCAGAGAGTTGTTTTAGGTCAGGCATTGATTTATACCACGCGAAAATCACAGTTTTCATGAGCCAGCAGAGCACGAGGGACTCAAGCACTTGTGCCAAAGAGATGGAAGCACATTTGTTTGGAGTCGTAGGATTGTTTAGGTTGGAAAAGCCCTCTAAGGTCATCAAGTCCAACCATTCCCCAGCACTGCCAAGGCCACCACCGAGCCATGTCCCCAGGTGTCACATCCACGTGGATTTTAAGTAAGTCCGTTCAGGTTTGGGGATTCCACCACTGCCCTGGGCAGCCTGTGCAGTGCCTGACCACCCCTTCAGTGAAGAATTGTTCCTGTTATCCAATTTCAACCTCTCCTGGTGCAGCTTGAGGCCGTTTCCTCTTGTCCTACTGATGGATTCACTATCCACAAACCTTGGTTCTCTATCCACTCGTGTGATGGGTGTCACATTTGCTGCCTTCCAGTTCACTGGGACCTCCTTGGTTAGCCAGGACTGCTGATAAATGATGGGAAGTGGCTCAGTGAGCACTTCCTCCAGCTCCTTCAGCACCCTTGGGTGGATCCCATCTGGCCCTGTGGAATTTTATGTCAAAATGCTGGAGCAGGTCACTGACCATTTTCCCTTGGATTCTGGATGTTCATTCTGCTTCCTGTTTCTGTCTTGCAGCACAGGGGATTGGCTACCCCGAGGCAACTGGTCTGACTATTAAAGGCTGAGGCAAAGACAGCATTAAGTACCTCCACCTGTTCCTCATCCCTTGTAATTTAATTTTCCCTGCCTCCAGTACAGGATGGAGGTTTGTATGTCCCTGTTTGCGGATGTGCATTGAGAGCACAGGGAAAAAATACTGCAGCTTTGCACTTTCCTTCGGGAATGACTCACTCCCTCTGCTGGGAACATTTAATTCTGAATGTGTGATGCTGCTTTCCCTCCTCCTCCTCCTCCTCCTCCTCTTGCATCCACCCCCCTCACCACATTCACATTCATCTTGCTCCGTGTGACATCTGCTCCGTGTGCTGCAGAGCAGCACTTTGGTTTCTATGGCAGCTGCTGTAGCCAGTGGACCCATGGATGGGCAGGGAGAGGAGGAAGAAAATTCCCAAAGTGGCTGGATTCAGGTGCATGGTGGTCATTCACCCTTGGCCAGAGGGTTGGGGTGAGTTTGGAGGGGGTGTGTCAGGGGTAGGTCACTCATATGCTGAGGCATTTGTGGTCCAGGGTGATTTCCTTTCTTCCCCTGCGAGAAGGACAGCAGTGAAAGGCAGGGTGTGAAGAGCAGCAGGTTGTGGGTTTGGTTGAACTTCACTCTATGTTTCCTTTTGCTCTGTTAGGTCTCCAGTTTTACAGCAAATGCTCCTCAGCTTCTGCCTCTCTGAGGGTGAAAATGCAGATGCCAAACCCGAGATATTATAATTAAGTGTCTATTTATAACATAGTCTGTCATTAGAATTACCATGTCATTTTTAAAACAAGGGAGGATAATGCCAGTTCACAATCTACACCTGTAGCTGTTGTTTCTTTTTTTATTAGTATTATTTTAAGCACAGTTCTTCTTTGATTTGTTCTGGCTGGGAATACATTAGGAGGCCTGAATTAACATCCTGCCACGTCGGCTGGGGCTTCTTCAATCCTCCGTCCCCCTTGGTATAAACACAAGGATTCTGAGCTGCCTCACTTCAGCTACAGGGAGCTGGATAAAATACAGAGCCCACTTCTCCATTTTTAAACATTCTTTATACAGTGGAATCAGAAGATGGTTTTGAAAGAGCTGAAAACCCCACGTGGCAGCATTGCGGCTCACGTGCCACCGCTTGTCGTGGAATGTCCTGGGTTCAGGATCAATCCATCATTTATCAGCAGTCCTGGCTAACTGGAGAGAACCCAGCTGAGTGGGAATTAGCAAATGTGATCCCCATTTACAGCTTTTAACCTGAAAAGCCGGGTTTGTCCAGCCCTGGCACAGCTGCCCAGGGCAGTGGTGGAGTCCCCATCCCTGGAGGGATTTAAAAGCCACGTGGATGTGGCACTTGGGGACATGGGTTAGTGGTGGCCTTGGCAGTGCTGGGGGAATGGTTGGACTGGATGATTTTAGAGACCTTTTCCAACCCAAGTGATTCTGTGATTCCTTTGTCTTAAACCATCACAAAGATGTATTTATTATAGAGCAGTTTGTTCACGGGAGATGAAACCAGCAGGAACTGGGACTGACTGGTAAAATATGAGCTTGGAAAATCACATAACCCCAGAATGGTTTGGGTTGGAAGGGACCTTAAAGATCATCTTGTTCCAACCCCCTGCCATGTGCAGGGACACTTGTGAGAGGAAAGGCTGTCAGAGATGAATGTCCCAAATCTGGTGTCGGGAAGGTGGTGCATCCCCAGCGTGTGGGGTGTGAGGACCCGGATGACCCTGAGCTTTGACATGTCTTCAGAGAGCCAGGTACTGCCTTGGTGTGGGGAATTTAGTGTTGGATGTACTTTGGAGAACACTGAAGAGTTCTTTTTATTGCAGATGAAGAAATCCTTTTTAGGCTCATGCTTCTTTTACATCTCTTCTCTGAGCAATGCTTTCTCTTCCGTTGTCTGTAACCCTCAGAATTTCAGGTGCCACGGGCAAGTGCTTCTCCTTACGTGAACATTTTGCCTCTTCAGGCCTGTCTGCTGTACTTTGGGTGATCCTATTATCTAGCAGTGCCTGTACCTTGCACCTTTTCTTTATCCATTTTGTCAGTTATTCCCGTTTAATCCCATATAATCTTTCCTGGAGTCTTTAGCAGCAACCCAGACCTCAGATCCCCCTCAGCCTGTTTCAAGTAGCTGTCAGTGACACGATGCATCCTCTAAAATTCAGCTGAAGTCTGGTGTGTGTGGTGCTCTGGTGCTGTTCTGAAATAGCGCAAATTAGGTGTTGTTAAAAAAAAAAAAAAGTCATGGAAAATTGTGGCAAAAGAAGATCTTTTGTCAGGCTGCTTAGGACCTCTGATTTTCTCCCACTTTTAAAGGGCTGCTTGTCTGCCTGTTCTACCCTCTTGTTCCCACATATTGTATGGACCCTCCTCCAGTTACATGGAAATCCCAGCCATCTTTTAAGACATTTCCTTTATATTTGTTATTAATAGTCCTTATAAACACATTTTTTTTTTCTTTCCTTTTCCCCTTTAGTTTATGGGCAGAGAGGCTTCAAAGCCTTTAAACTGACTAAGCTCTGACCTTAATCCCTTGAGGTGTCACATAGGGTAGCAAAATCCTACCCTTCTAAAGGAAGGAAAAATAAAATAAGATGTTCCTAATAAAGTTGGATGTTCCTAAAAGAAGATAAAGTTATCTGGATCCTCCACCTCGCTTACAGAGGGCACAGTATACTCCACCTATTTTATATTATCCCATAATTGTGCATTTCATTGCCACAACCTCAACTGGAAATTATTTTTGGAGCCAAAATTGTCTTGCATTTTCCATTATTTGGCCTTTTTGCACCAGTTGTTTGCTTTTTCTTTCTTGAGATCCATCAGTTTATGGCTTATGTGTCTACACATTTATCAGTGATAGAAGATAATATTAAAAAAAGGCATTAGCACGTAGCAATGATCTATTAAATAGTGTAATTCATCTTTGTGCAGAGACCATCATTAATTTAATTTGTTTAATTAAAATAGCCCATTAAAATGGATTTAGTTGCTGGCATCAAACCACTCCTGGCTTCCTTTTTTGTTACTGGGACATAATATTACCCAAGGTCTCAACAACTTCCCCATTTTCCTAATTGAGTCAGAGGTTCAATTTGAAATTAGCATTGCTGGGAAGGAGAAACAAATCAAATAGAGAACCCAGTTAGCATTTAGGGCTTAGAACGGGGGGTTTCCTGATTTCCCTTTTAGTGGATGTGAGCAGGAGGTCAGGTTGTTATGTGAACATTAAAAAAATGCCATCCCCTGACCTGCTGAATTCCTGACAGTGCCTCGTGTTTGTGCTGACAGGAAGAAGCAAACAAAACCAAATGAAAAGGTAATGAGGTAGAGCACAGAGGGGATGTGAAATCTTCCCCTCAGAAAGCTCTGCAATGTTTATTAATGCTGCTGCTTCAATGGAAAAATGCAACCTGGAAAAAAAAGAAAAATGCCACCAAGTATTTTTCCATTTCTACTTGTACTTTTTTGGAATTTGCCCACAGTGGAAAATAGAAAAAATTAAATAACTCCATCTCTGAGCATAAGACCACAAAATATGTCGTGGCAAGCAGGTTTTATTTCTCGTGAGGCTTTGAAATGTTGTGCCTGGATTGCAGAAAGTCCAGTTGTACCCCTTTGGTGAAGTCTTTATTGTTAATAATTATCATAGAATCATGGAATGGTTTGGATTGGAAGAGACCATCTTGTTCCAACCCCCTGCCATGGGCAGGGACACCTTCCACTAGCCCAGGTTGCTCCAAGCTCCATCCAACCTGGCCTTGGACACTTCCAGGGATCCAGGGGCAGCCACAGCTTCTCTGGGCAACCTGTGCCAGGGCCTCACCACAGCCAAGAATTTCTTCCCAATATCCCATCTATCTCTGCCATCTGGCAGTTTGAAGCCATTCCCTGTGTACTGTTCCTCCATCCTTTTTCCCAAGTCCCTCTCCAGTTCTTCTGGAGACTCTTTAGGGTCTGGAAGGGGCTCTCAGGTCTCCCAGGATCCTTTACTTCTCTTCTCCAGGTGAACCCCCCCAGCTCTCCCAGCCTGGCTCCAGAGCAGAGGGGCTCCAGCCCTGGGTGCATCTCCGTGGCCTCCTCTGGACTCTCCAGCAGCTCCATTGAAGGCCTCACCTTCCCCATGGCTTTTCTTTCCTTCTCTGTGGCTGTTCTGGCTTTCCCTTCTCCTGCAGTGATCCCTCTTTGGTTTGACTTTGTGCTGCATCAAAGGGAAACCCCCAAAACCTTTTTTTTCCTCTAAAACCCCTTTTTTTTTCCTCTAAAAAATTCCAGTGCTCTGGGCTGGCTGATCCACCCTGGATGATCTACATGAGTTCCTAAAGCTTGAACACAAGGGGCCAGTGACTTGGTCATTCTGTAGGAGATACTGGCTGAAATATTTGATTGCCTGAAGTAGCACCTGGTGCAGTTTGGGATGCCTCAGGATATCTGAGACGTTCCTATGGGGCTGTGAGGGTAAGAGGAGCTGGAGAAGACCTGCAACTTCTGAACCAGCAGCTGGAGATCAAAGCAAAGCATCTGAATTTGGGCGGCTGGACCCAACCTGCAGTTTACCAGCAGACACCTCTGCTGTCATCCAGAACACAGCTGCAGTTAACATGGAGTGAGCCACAGCTAAACAAGTCTCTTGGGCTTCCTCTTTGGGCTCTTTTATCCCCTGTTCTGGATCCCAGTGAAATCCAGATTGATAACGGTTGTGCTCACTCCTCGTTGTTGCTGTGGTCACTGCCGTGGTTTCAGCCTTGTCTCCCAAACGAGCTCCAAAGCCACGCCCAGGAGACATCCCGGGCTGACAAGGGGGCGCTTCCCAAGGGGCGCTTTCAGCGTGACTGGACCGTAGGGAGCAGGAGAGTCTGGTTCCTTGGATGTGAGCCCAGCCCTGCGTGGCCTTGGTCTGCACAGTGAATAATGAATGACTCAGCACACTCCAGCATGAATGAAGCCCTTCCCCTGCAAGAATTGCTTCTGTCAATGAGAAGGGCTTACAGTGTTTCCTTTGATTAGGATAAAATCAAGGAATGCTCTTTTCCGGCGTTGTTTTAAATAATCCGCCTCGGTCAGCAACTCGCTCGGTAAAGTCAGAATTACAATTTCATTTTAAATTCAATTTTGACTCCCTCAGTTGAGTAAAACAGATTTATTGCCAATATTTTCACTCAAGTGGGTGTTTTCTTGCCTGTTGAGAAAATGCATGGAAATATTTAGCAAAAAAACAGTGTCATAACCTTCTCTGGTGATTGGAGATTTCCAGTGGTCCAAGCAGTGACAAGGGGCAGGATCATTGGATGGGGCTTGGAGAAACCTGGTCTAGTGAAAGGTGTCCCTACCTATGGCAGGGAGTTGGACTAGATGAGCTTTAAAGGTCCCTTCCAACTCAAACCAACTCCAAACCATCCTGTGATTCCAACCCATTCAGTGATTCCAGACCCGGGGACAACTGGGTGACCCTGAGGTGACACTGTGTAAATCTGGGATCCATCGGCCAAGTTATTTTCTGTGTAACTGGGGAATGGGAAGTCTTTAATGAGAAAAGACTGTGATTGATCCAGCAAACAGGCTGAGCAAGAAAAGATTTTATTTTTTTTTTTCCCTAGAAATAGGAAAGAAGTAAATATCAGGGAGAGGGGCAAAAGCTGTTTAAGGTGAAGAACAACATTAGCACAAATCCAGGTGGGTATGAATTGCCCATCTTTATATTTGGGTTGGGAAATTGGATGTTTTATAATCATTAGAGCAGCTGGGCTCACAAACAGCTGCCCAAACAGAATAGAAGGGGTAGGAAATATGACAATTTATGCAACAGTGCTTGCAGAGTTCAGGAAGGGATCTGGGTGAGCTTCCAGTGGCAGGAAACCAAATTGGATAACAAGGGGGAAGGTCTTCCAGACCTGTGGCCACATCAGTGCGAAGTGCTCCTATTTTATGAACTCATTTCTCCTCATTTTTTCCCCATTTTGAAAGAGCTGGAACTGCATTAAGCCATTATACATTTGTAGATTTAATGGAAAAGCCATCATTTTGGTCGTCAATATTCAATTTTCCTGAACCTTGTGGCCCAACCTGTTTGTGTGGGCAATAACCAAGAATAAGCTGACCAAAAAATAAATGGTGTAAAAATATTTTTGGTATTTGTACACACTAAACTAAACAGAAAGTCCTGATTTTTAAGTTCAGGTGGTTTTGATTGTCAATCAATCAAAGAGACACTTATGTCCTGAGAACCAACCAGCTCACCAGTAAATGATAGATGTAGAATTTGTGTTCACCACTGAATTTAAACTGAATACTGATCTAAAAGAGCTAAAAGGCTGAAATCAGCCTTTTCAGGTATTGACTAAATAGAATAAAAAAGAGTATTCATGGAGTAACTGCCACACAGGCTGTGAATGGATGCAAAAGGGGGTTTAGATCTTTTGAACAGCTCCTCTTTTCCACTTTCAGGCTCCATTTTGGCAAAGACAAGTCCTAGATATTGGTGATCCACAGTTGCTGCAGGACCAGAACTTTCCTGTCAGGAACCATATTTGATTTGGATGACCAATGTCTCTGAAAACACTCCTGAATATTGCAGCACAACCCTGATGTGCAGAACTGGATTACAAATCCACTCTGATATTTTCATTTTAACCAGGTTAATTATTGCTTTGATTATGGAGCTGGAATTGCCATCTGTCACGAGCTCTGTGGGATGACCCAGCTTATTTTGGCTTCATGTTTTCCTACATATAATGTTTATTATTCCCAAAATAATATAATGTGAGACAGTTACTATCATCCTGGGACAGCTTGTCATGGGATGGCTTTCTCATCATCACACTGCACTGGTAATGCAATTCCATTTTCATGTGCCACTGTTAGGCTGTGAACTACAGGATATTATATTGTGCATAGCTTAGAGATAGGGAAAAAGGCTGCATCTGACTGATATATCTGTTTAATTAATATTATTTCCATGTAAGGAATGTGTAGCAGTTAGGAGGTTTCTGGAAAGCTGAGAGAAGAGGATGTTAACACCAGATTAAAATATCTTCCTTTGGTTGTGGATCCTCCTCAGATCTATCACAAAAAACCACTTTTTCTCCAATACATTGGGAAGCTGGAAGATCAAACCTGCTGCTGACAAGGTGAAGCACTGGAGGAAGTTTCCAGAGAAGCTGTGGCTGCTCCATCCCTGGAAATGTTCAAGGCCAGGTTGGACAGGGCTTGGAGCAACCTGGGCTAGTGGAAGGTATCCCTGTCCACGTCAGGGGGTGGAAACAGATGATCTTCCAAGTCCTCTCCAACCCAACCCCCTCCATGATTCTCTGATTCTCTGGCTGTATTACAAGGGAAAAAGCATAAACTCATCCAATTTTGTTTGAGGCTTTGCAGATAAAATGGAATATTGAACTATCATCCCAAACTGAAAATGCTTCCAGGTGAGAAAACAAAATATGTGGAAATACCACTAAATAAACAGGCAGCTGTATTATCCCATAGCTCGAGTCTTAATTAAACTTGAGCTCTAATTCTGGGGGAGTATATTCTCATCAGTAGCCTTGCTATGGCCAGGATTAGTGGGAGAAGTTTCAAGCTCCTTGCTATGCAAATTTTTTGGGAAAAACCTCACATTCTGGGCCAGAACTAAATTAAAACCTCGTTTTACAGACTGGCAAGTTAATAGTGACCCCACCAAAGCCTTGTGCAGGCATTTGGCCCCTAAAAAAATAGCAGAGAAAAAAATCTGTGGGATGTGTCACATTTACCTGTTTGCTGCTCAAAAGCCCCTCTGTGTCTTCACATGCCATCCCACCCGGTTACTCCTTCCTTCCTCAGGCTTTTCCTTGGCACTTTTGGATCCAGAACCAATAAAGGGTGTTTGAACCCGAGATATGTGTGTGGAAGAATTTCAGAAGTCTCAGGTTATTTTTTCCCTGATGTTTCATACAGAGCTGATCAACCCTAAAGGAGAGGGCCAGGGTGTTGTCTCCATTTTCAGTTTATTGAAGTGATGCTGATGCAAATCCTGCTGACCGTTTCCAAACACATAAAAAGGAGGAAAATAAGAGAAGAAAAATTAATTGCCTTCAGCCTGAGCTTTCATGATGAGCTCTTCCACAGGCAATGAATAAAGCGTGCAGGATTTCAAGCTCCGGGAGATGGGAGATCAGAAAAAAAACCCTTTGTTTTGGTGTTTTTTTAAACCTCTTTTCACAGTTTTCCTGTGGAACATGCTGCAAACAAGCTTCAAACCCTGGTTTGCCACCTTTTTCAATTAAATTCCCATCAAAACCACAAATAGAAAAATCAATGTGGTTCATTCAGCGTGTCTAAAGTTCCTCAAATACAGCCTGAGAAAAGGACAGACTGACAGTGGGGTTTTTTCCCCCCCTCCATTGTTTTGTGGATGATTTAAAAAATCAGCTGTTTTAGAGTCTCACCTCCAAAGCTTAAAATAAAACTGGAAACTTGTTTTCCTCCTCTTCACACATTGTTCCAGTGGAAGGTGTCCCCCTTGGAAGCGGGGTTGGAATGAGATGATATTTGAGCCCCGTTTCAACCCAAACCATTCTGTAAGTCTGTGATTAAATATGGGCTTCTTAGAAACCACCTGGTTGTGGCTCTGTGGGAGTGTGGGTTTTTTTCCAGCTGTGCTTCCAGGACCACACCAATAAAAGCAAATTCCTCCTTGGGCATCAGTGCCTGGACCTGCCAAACCTGCCTGGAGCACGTGGGGCCGATAAGCTCCGCAGGCCCCTCCAGCCATGCCTGAGGCTGCACTTCCAAGTCCTGAGCTCTTTCCGAGGGGGAACCTCAGAGGACGCTCAGGAAAATTTGTAATTTCAGATGAGGTGGCGGGATCGGGTCCCTGGAGCATTGGAGATGTTTTTGCTGACCCGTCTTTGCCGGCGGGTGCAGCGGCAGAGGCGGATTGTGAGCCCAGCTGCTGCATCAGCATCATTTTAATTAAATATATATTGCTTTATTTAGCTCTGTGGATGGCATGGGTTCTGTTATTGCTTTCAATGAAGGGCTGGAATGCAAATGGAGAGGATTTAAGTGGAGACAGCAAAGGATGGTGCTATAGCAGGAGAAAACATCTAAATGAAACACGGAGAAGAGTCGACGTTGCTGCCGATGGCAAACCTGGCTGAAACGCGAATTCCCCCCATCCTCCTAACTCCTCATGTGCACACAAATGGCATTCCCAGCTCCTTGGGAGCCTGCAGAGTGTTAGCACAGGCACCAGGGTGTTTGGGCAGCGTTGTTAAAGCGGCATTAGTATGCAGGGAGATGCTCCTCACTCTGCTAAATCACTCTGCGAAGAGGGACTGTGAGCGCTCCCCCTTTGTTATGACAGCGCTTCTGAGGCAAGACTAATAAGACTTAAAAGCAGAGCTAAATTAGGGAGATGGGAGATGAAGGCAGGGGTAGAGACTGAACTGGGCTGATGGAAAAGCGTGGGCTGGTGGGAAAGGCAGGGAGAGAGGGAATGTAGACAAGGAGAGGCCCAAGGGAGCCAGGCCACGTGAACGGGGCCACAAGAGCCTGAGCAGGGCTTGAAACTTGTTCTGGGTCTGGCATACTAAAGATGGTTGAAATGTCAGCATTAAAAACTCAAAAATGAAAAAAACACCCCAGCAAAATTTGCAAAACAAGAAGTGAAGTCATGCTCTCAGGTGGGATTCCTGTGCCGACTCAGGAGTTGGGACTCGATGATCCTTGTGTGTCCCTTCCTACTCAAGACATTCTGTGACTCTGTGAAGCATGAGAAAGAGAAGAGAAATAAGAAGGGTGAAATACACACACACACACACACAAATGGCTGGAAAATTAAAATATTTTTTTTAGAAGAAAACATTCAAGTCATATCTTTATATCTTTAGTCATATCTTTTTTTTTTTTTTTTTTTTTTTTTTTTTCCTACAAGCTTTAGCTCAGGAATTCTTCTAACCAAACAGTACACTGCAGTCCTGGGCCTACATGGGATTTTTTAACACTTGCCAAATGGTGTCTGTGAGCTTGTAACAGATGTAAAAGATTATTTCCCAAATCTGCAAGAATTGTCACTTTGCACTTGCAAAGTGAAGACGCCTTGACTGGAAATACAGGAAGGATGAATTATGCATGGAAAGTGCTGCATGACTATTTTTAATGGTGCTTGGGCATAGTCTGGAATATGATTTGTTTCCTCAGCTTGTGTTTAAGGCAGGGGAGGTGAGTGAGGAAAGAATGAGAAGGTGAACAGGGAAATCTGCCTCAAAAACACGTGCTGAGGTTTCCTGGTGACAGGGACACCAGCCCAGCACTGCAGAGCAATAGCGCTCTGTGAGGAGCTGAAATCAGGAATAAAATGTTAGGAACCTTAGAGGATCCTGGAATGGTTTGGGTTGGAAGGGACTTAAAGACCATGATGAAGGTGAAGATGTGTTTTCTTGAGCCTTAGAGGAGTCTGAAAGAAAGAATTTTAAACAGAGGACATGTTCAGGTTGTAGCTCCAGTACCTCACAATGCATATAAGCAGGAATGATTAGAATGCTTAAGTCACAATTAGCATTTCATTCCAAATTGAATTTTGACTCCCTCAGTTGAGTAAAACAGATTTATTTCCAGTATTTCTATTATATTTTTTAGACTATGTGAGGCAGCTCAGAAAACAAATTATTCTTCTTAGAAAATATCAATATTGTCAAGGTTTATGTGGGGTTTTTTTTGTGAATTAAAAAATTATTTGGTGTTTAGTGTGAAAGGACAGAGATGTTCTGAAGGAGGGAGGATTTGTGCATCCTGCCCAGTTTATGATGGCTGTGAGTTTGCCTCCCCAGCCCTGATTCTTTGATTATCCTGGTGAGATGGGAACTCAAGCCCTCACACAGCATTATGTCCTGATGGGAGAGGATCCCATCATGGCAAACAGCAAATATTTCATAGATTTTAGTGGACTTCAGAAGAGAGGAAAGTTGACTGAGGCAGCACAAAAGGCAGGGAGCAAAGCTTGTTTTGGGAATTCCTGCAGCATCCAGTGATGAATGGGACCTTGATGTGGGTTTCTTTTGATTGATTCTTCCACTCTTCAGGAGACCACAATGGCCTCTCAGCATCCTCTGGTTTTCCTCTCTCTTTTTTATCAGCTCAGCCATTGGGAATATCCTGCTTGACACAGATATTTGCATGAGCTGGTGTTATATTGGTACTTTGCTCTTTAATAACTATGCAAATTTATCACCAGTGTGCAATGGAGATGGGGGTAGTTGGGAGAATTTGTGGTTAGAGAGGTAAAAAGGCCCTCAAGGTGGTCCATGTGCTCTGTGGGAATACCCCCATTGAATAAATGATGGATTTGTCTTCTGCTTCTGAGCTGAGAGGGCTCAGACTGGAGAAAAGGAGGCTCAGGAGGGACCTTCTCGCTCTCTTCTCCCTGGTAATGAGTGACAGGGTGAGAGGAAATGGCTTCAAGTTGTGCCAGAGGAGGTTTAGGTTGGATACTGGGAACAATTTCTTCATGGAGAGGGTTGTTCAGCCCTTGTTGGCACAGCTACCCTGGGCAGAAGTGGACTCCCCATTCCTGCAGGTATTTAAAAGCCACTTGGATGTGGCACTTGGGGACATGGCTCAGTGGTGGCCTCGGCAGTGCTGGGGGATGGTTGGACTGGATGATCTTGGAGGGCTTTTCCAACCAAAACAGTTCTGTGTAAAATCACATGCTTGACAGGAGTCAGGGAGTCACATTCCAGGCTAAAATTACATTAAAATGTTGGCATCTCAACAGCTTTCTGAATGAAAAGTGAAATCGAGATTCCTTTAAATTTTGGGAACGTGGCTCCTGCCATGTGTTTGCAGTCGTGACTTTTTGCCTGTTGACTTCAAGGGAAGCAATTTATCCATTTTTGGGTGGTAGACTGGGGGGGAATCTGTGTTTTGGTTGTTCACAAATGTCTCTTGGTTCCTTGGAGAAAAATCTTCTTTGTATCATGGCAGCAGAATGCTGGGTTTGTGTGGTTTATATTCTCATACATCTTGTGCACTACTCTGGAAATCCGGCCTGGTAAAAGTGTCCCTTCCCATGGCAGGGGTTTGGAACAAGATGAGCTTTAAGGATCCCTTCCAATCCAAACCATTCTGGGATTCCATGATCACAGTGACCCCGTGCAGGCAAATCCTCAGCCAGTGTAAATAATCGCAGCTCTGGTGTTTTCCAGGCTTTCCCTTTGTCCTGTGCTGAGAATATGACCCATATCCTTTCAAACCTGCTGTGGTGAAAGACTCAGGTCCCAGTCCTGCCTTCAACAAACTCAGGAGACTTTTTGCAAATGGCTCAGTGGTTCCTGAGGAGGCCCAGATCTTACAGCTTTCCTTCTGTGCTGCTTGCAGTTTTAAGGTTTGGGAATATGTTAACTTAGCTGGGATGAGAAGGGGAAAAGGCAGCAGTGCTGTTCTTCATCTGTGGAAGTACATTTGTTGGGTAGGCTGTGTTCTTTTACTGCTTTCCTCAAATGCCATTTTGTAACAGTAAAACGCTCCCTAAAAATACTAAAATATTTTTAGTTGTCGAGTACAAATCAGATTGAGCTGCACATTTCCCTCGTGAGTAAAAGTGATGAGTTTGTGTTCATTAACTCGGGGCCATCTGGTGCAGACATGCTGCAGTCTGTGAATCAAACATGCAGCAAACTCCAGGGATCAGAATAACCACCAGACCCAGGCTTTGAGGGGCTTGGGGGCGGAGGAAGAGGGTGGTGGGCTATAGATTTCACTCTTTTTAAAATTAACTCTGCTCTCAATGTTGCACTGTTGTGAAACTGTGTCCCAGGCTCACTGGTGACACTCTGAGTAGCATTCAGGGTGCTTGTCTGCCATTAAGGTGATGGTACCTGTCATCCCAACTGGTTTGTGTGCAAAAATGACTGAACAGCTCTGTTTCCCTGAATTCATAAATAATGCATCTTGAGGGTGCAGCTGCGCAGATGCAACTAAAAAATAAATCTAAGCAGTTTTTCTGGGTCTGCACTGGTGGAAGTCAGTGGTGTTTCCACTTATGGTGTAACTGGATCAGATCTCAGAGTGTTATGTAGAAAACGTTGAAGAAATAAGATGTAGTTGGAGGCTCTGATTCCATCTCAAGGGTCTTTTACAAGGTAACTGATTTTTTTCTTCTTCCCCGTGAGGGTGGTGAGGCCCTGGCACGGGTTACCCAGAGAAGCTGTGGCTGCTCCTGGATCTCTGGAAGTGTCCAACACCAGGTTGGATGGGGCTTGGATCAACCTGAGCTGGTGGAAGGTGTTCCTGCCCATGGCAGGGGGTTGGAATGAGATGAGATTCGGGGTCCCTTCCAACCCAAACCAGTCTGTGGTTCTGTGATTCCATGAAATCTGCTTCCATTACCAACCTGGCAGCCTTTATACATTTCTCACCCAAATGTCCCAAAATGTTCCTGCCTCTCCTGTTGATGTTTTTTCTGGTCTCTGCCTTTGTTTCTTCCAATCTCCTGTCTGTCACTGGTTGCAGCCATAGCTGGGTGGTCCCAAGAGGGGGGGAAGAGCCAGTTTTAAGCCTGAAACTGTTGTGTGAGTTGAGCCAAAGTCACCAAACTCCACCCACAAACCTGTATAACTTTGTGAGTTCATCACAGAATCACAGAATTGTTCAGGTTGGAAAAGCCCTCTAAGATCATCAAGTCCAGCCATTCTCCCAGCACTGCCAAGCCCAACACAAACCATGTCCCCAAAGGCCACCTTCACATGTCTTTGAGAGCCATAAATTCCCTGGCTGTTGCTTTTATTGTTTGAGCTGTTTCAGTGGTACCTCACAGGGTTTTGCCCAGGACAGAGATTGCTCCAAGGTGCTTGAGGACTGTGTTTGGGCAACTAGTTAAACCCCCAGAGCATTCAGAGCTTTTCTGCTGACCAGAGATGTAGATATTTGCTTTGGGAGGACTTGAATTGCTCTCTGGACTCCACTGGGTGCAGTTTAGTTGCCAAAACATATGAATCAAGTGCTGTTAAAGATGGTTAAAGGTATCTGGGATGTCCATGAAAAGCTGACAGAATAGACTGGTACCCACAGATCTGAGCCATGGGAATTGTAGTCAGGGGCTGGATTCCCTAAGACATCTCAAATAATGCCTATGGATGCTCATGTTTAGGCATGAGGCTGTGTCAGCTGAAGTTTAGGATGGATGTCAGGAGAAGGTTCTTCCCCCAGAGGGTGGTTGGGCACTGAACAGGCTCCCCAGGGCAGTGGGCACAGCCCCAAGGCTGCCAGAGCTCAAGGAGTGTTTGGACAACACTCTCAGGGACAGGGTGGGATTGTTGGGCTATCCTGTTGGGCCAGAAGTTGGACTGGATGATCCCTTCCTACTCAGGATATTCTTTCATTCTAGGAACCACAACCTGAAGTGAGACTTTATTAACTTTAAAGAGGGCTTAGAAACATTTTGTAAATGCCCAAACCAAAGTTTCTGGAGGAGAATCCCATTTCATTTATTTTATTAGGTGTCCTGAGGTGTAAATCGTATTCTTTACATCTGTCATGTGTCCTCCCCTGGGTCTTTGCCTAAAAGTTGTGTTCATCCCTAAAAAAGATGGGATGCTGTGTCTCCTTCCCGATTCAGGTGCCATCCCTGGGTGGGGACTGGGGGCCAGTTTTTCCTGTGGGTTTTGGCTTTTCCATGGGCCACTACTGCAGTTGTCTGTAAATGAGGAATGAACCAGCTGAAACCCAGGATGAAATCAGGAGACAGAAGATTCAGGTCCATAGTCTGTCACTGACTTAATACCAAAAAAAACCCAAAAAACAAGTTCCAAAGATCTATTATTAATATCTGAAGGGAGAGCAGCAGTTAGTGATCACTTCTGAACAAAGATCATGTTTCCATGACAATACTCCCATCACTGGATAATCCATATACCATAAGCTCGGCTGTCCTGCTGGGAGGTATTTTGGCATTTCTTTCCAGAAAAAACTCTGAAACTCAGAGTTATGCCTTTGAAAAAAAGTTGTGTTTTATTTAAAGGTTCCCGTTCTTTTCATCACTCTCTTAAATGACTGGAGTTAATGGGCCCCAGTCAAAGGAGAGCACGGTGCTGCACAGCCCCCTTGTTTCCTTCCTCTGTTCTCTTTGAGTCTCCTCATCAAAATGACCGTCCCTGCTCCCTTTTCTTAATTTCCTGCCTGGATTCAGCCCCTCTGCTCTCCCATTAAGGGCAGTTTGGTGAATGGCATCTTTGAAAGCTCCTCATGGCTTTCATTTGCCTGCGAGGGAAGTGGCTGCTTACTCATACCCTTTGGGAAATCGAGTTTACCTTGCAAAGGAGCCTCTTTTTTTCAGCACTTTGTACCTGAGTTTTTGCAGGTTTCTCTGTTGGCTGCTCCTTTGGGCACCTCTAGGAAGAGAAACACACGTTCCTGCTCATTCAAGCAAGATATTGAGTGACTTTCAGGCTCTAATAGCTCATTTTTTCATGTAACTTTTTGCGTAGGATGAGGTGATTTTTTGTCATCTTCTACTAAGAGATGCTTCAAAGTTGCACTGATTTATTTCTCTGTGGGGTTGCTTTTCCTCCATCAGTCTCATGATGTTTCAGTTTGAGTGTTTGGATTTCGGATGTTAATAAAATTCTGGGTCCTGATGCTATTTTTATCACATGGATATTACTTAAGCTCCTTAGGACCTGAGAGAAAGGCTGGAGATGTGTCAGGGAAGGTTTAGATTGGATCTCTAGGAAAGGTTCTTCCCACCTGGGGTGGTTGGGAACTGAACAGGCTCCCCAGGGCAGTGGGCACGGCCCCAAGGCTGCCAGAGCTCAAGGAGGGTTTGAACAACACTCAGGGACAGGTGGGATTGTTGGGCTGTCCTGTTGGGCCAGGAGTTGGACTGAATGATCCTTGTAAGTCCCTTCCAACTCAGGATATTCTGTGATTCCATGATCCTTTTATTCTCAATTTATGACTTCTTTGCACAGCAACTGCAGCAAGTTCACAACAAGCCTTAGCAAAGATGAAGAGCAGGTGCAGAGTTTGTGTTGAATGTTCATTGCAGCACCTGACTTTGTACTGTCTGGAGAAGACAGAATCACAGAATCATTAAGGTTGGAAAAGCCCTCTGAGATCATAAAGTCCAGCCATAACCCAGCACCACTAGACTCTGTCCCCAAGTGCCACAGAGACATAGAGAGCTTCCCAAGCCCTTGACGTGAGCCAAGAGCACTCCAAGATCTGACCCAGCAGAACTCCCAGCCTGGGAGCACATTGTGCCTCATCCACCAGGACCAGCAGTTCCTGCAATTCGCTCTCCACTTTTCCTTGCTGCAATCCATGAGGCAGCCATTCCCAATTCATGGAAATTGCCTGCTCAGGTGCAATGCTCAGTCAGACAGAAATGCCTCAGCAAAGCCATTCCCAATTTGGTTTTGATTGGGATGACAGAGAGACTTTGGAAGGGAGACTTTTGAATTCCTGATCTGTAGGAGCAGAGATCTCAGAGGGTCATAGTGGGTACAAAGTTATTTTCATAGACCTGCACTTGTCTTCTGTTCCTTTTTCCTTTCAGAAACTGCATCTTGTGTCAGAGAATAAAAAGAAGGGATTTTATTCAGTCTATTGTCCTTGTTATTAGTCTCATTCCATGCTACCCTCTTTTCTCCCCATTAGCTCTGTTCATCCCTTTTGGAGTAGGAGGTGACCTTTCCTACATCCCCTCGCTGGCTGAACGGGCTCAGCCCCAATAAACTCAGCGAAGTTCAGGCTCCTCAGTCACTCTGGGGGCTTTCCAGCACATTCCTCTGGAAGCCCACAGGGACAATGACTGTCACATGCTGTGCCAGCGTCAGGGAGCGGTGCCAACATGCCATGTCGGGGAGTTATGGCACAACACGAACTGACAGGGCAGAGCCAGCCCATCCCCTGCAGAACCATGGCTGGGGTACAGCTGTGCTCTCACACTGGATATGTGGGAACAGCATTAATTTAAATGCTTTAATTCCATCTGGATCTCCTTGGCTTTATTCAGTGACTCCACGAGAGCCCTTCTTTGAGGCAGCGTAGCTGAACAACTCCATTTAATATGTTAAATAATCCAGTGCTGTGTGTTGGTCAGAGGAGAAGGATGAGGAAGTCCTAATTAATCAGATCTCTTCCTAATTGGCTGCGGCAAAGAGATTTCTCTTGGTGCCAAGGGCACACAGTGGCCGAGTTCCTGGCTTTGCCTAAATAAGACAGAGGCTGTTTCTGCAAGTGCTGTCCCGGATTTGTTTGGATTTGCTTGGAGGAGTCAGCAGCAGAATGTCAGGTAGATTAATCTTGGCTTCTGTACATCCTGTCTAGGAGTGTCATCCCTTTGCCTCCCATCCTCTTTGCCCAGGAGTTTGAGTGCAGGGTTTTTAGCCTTGAATTTTGATCTGTTCTGATGAGGCTCCTGTGAAGCAAATGGAAGTTGACTGGCAGCTCTGGAGCTCCAGTGAGTGAGTGGAATTAAATTGTTGACCGTGTGCCATTAAAGGAAGGAAAGAGGGATTTACAGTCTTAGCCATTGGTTTTCTTCATTTTTGTTCAGAAAAGTTCTTAAACAACCTGATTGGACAACATATAAAGGGCAGCTTTACAGCATTTCAAAGCAATAAAATGTGATGTTGACCATTTCTGTTGGCAACTCATCTGACCTTGGTACTTTTGGGTCACCTCTCTGGGCTAAATCTGCTCCCTTCTGTGGGGAAGAGTACAACCCAAACCTGCTGGGCAGGAGTCAGTTGTCAGCTGTGAGGGGGCTGGATGGGGAACTCTGGGTGCTGGGATGTTGTATCACTTAGAGAAAACTCTCACTCTTTGGCCCTCTGAGCTTCTGCATTTCCAGTGCCTGAAGGAGCTCCAGGAGAGCTGGAGAGGGACTTTGGACAAGGGATGGAAGGACAGGACACAGGGAGTGGCTTCCAACTGCCAGAGGGCAGGGTTAGATGGGATATTGGGAAGGAATTGCTGGTTGTGAGGGTGGGGAGGCCTTGGCAGGGGTTGCCCAGAGAAGCTGTGACTGCCCCATCCTTGGAAATGTTCAAGGCCAGGTGGGATGGTGCTTGGAGCAACCTGGGCTAGGGAAAGGTGTCCCTGCCCATGGATGATCCTTAAGATCCCTTCCAGCCCAAACCAGCCCATGATTCTGGGATTTAGGAAATCACCCCAGGAAACACTGAGAGTCATGCCCAGTCATTTGAGATGAGCATTTGCCATCCTGTGTGCTGGGTGGGAGCAGCAGCTCCCACAGCAGCAGCTCGTGGCTCCCACAGCTGCAGCTCCATTTTTACCAAAGAGGTCCCGTGGAGATGTCCGAGAGGAGGAGAGGGTCTGTCCCAGCCCAGCTCTGTGGCCAGAAGAAAATACCCCCTGGAGCTTTCAGCCTTGCAGGGATGTATCGTTTTCCCAGTCTCACAGATAAAAAGCAGCAGCTTTTTCTCCCACCCCAGCAGTGACACAAGAGACAAGATGGGGACAAGTGAGGAGGGGGAGACAGCACTGGTAGAAGAATGGCTGCAATCAGGTGACAATGAGATTATATCAACTGTGTTGTGAAAGTTCTGATAATTAATTGTTTCTTGAACTGTGCAGCCTGTTTGTTTGATCTTCCTTCTGCATTTCTAAAGCGATGTATCATTTTATTTTCCTTCCTCCTTTTTTATTTTTTTTTCCCCCTTGTGAACCATATTTCTATACTTCAGACTTGATTTAGTAACCATAGCAATGAAATAAATGCATTGTCTTCATTTACAATGGTGTCTAAATAGGTGCTCAGCTCCCTGTAAGTCCTTTAACAAGGGATGGTTCCCTGCCACCACAATGAGAAGGCTCTGGGCGATGTTATTGAAATCATTTTCACTTTGATTTCGTGACATCGAGTCCAA